CAAACCTGGAACCCACCTACCTATTTTAGTCCTGACCGTTGATCTCCCAAATCAACGCTCCAAACAACTCCTTTCCTTTTTAATTTCTAAACGACCCCAACCCTAAACCATTTTACCAAAGACACCGCCTTCAGATTCTCTCCTCTTCTCTCCTCTCTCAAGACCTAACCCTAAAACTCCATCAAATCACCTCCTTCTCTGGCCATCTCCGGCCACCTCCTTTCAACCCCAAGTCTCCGATGGGCCTCTCATCGCCTTGCTCAACATCTCTAGGGCCTTCGAGGATCCTGGGCCGTGTTGATTTGGACCTAGGGTTTCTGGTTCTTTTACATATGGGTTCTCCGGTGTGATTTTGGGCAAAATCACACCCTATATGTCACGATCGGTGAAGTTTCAACAGGTTCTTTCAACTTATATTTGGGTTTCCTTTTGAAACCCTAACTCTCTCCTGAATCTCTCAAAACGGTGTTATTTTCATGCTATAAGCATGTTTTCTTCTATGTTCTGCTTATTCTCGAGCTTCTTCTGAAAGATCATCTACTTTGAACCGTTTTCCCTTTCTTTGAAAAACTAGGGTTTCTTGGAGTTCTTTTACGCATGTTTCAACCGATTTCTTTATGATTAAACCTTTTCCTTGTTCATTCTGACCGATTTTATGCTCCTACTATTTTTTTTTAGCTTGACTCTGCTAAAAACCCTAATTTCTAAAGATTTTTCTTCGTTTTGGTTATGTGTGTTAGCATGATTTCTGTACTCTGGTTCTATGTGAGCATATTTCTTCGTTTTGATTATGTGTGTTAGCCCGATTTTCTTTGCCTTGTCTCTATGTGTTAGCATGTTTCTTCGCTTTGATTATGTGTGTTAGCCTGACCTCCTTTTCCTTGGTTTTGTGTGCTAGCCTATTTACCTGATTCTTGTTAATGTGTCGTGGTCACCATGCTTCGAACATGTCCGGCTGAATCTTAGCCTATTTACACTATCTCTGAATGATTGTGTTTGCTCATCTCTTGTTCCCTTCTGTCTATATGGCTGACTTTGTTTGCTACTCTTGTTCATTCGCTTCTATTTATATGTTGAGAATACAGAATTATGACTTCACATAATTGATTCTTATTTTCCTTGATTGTTGGTAATTGAAAGACTTTCTTTCAAAGCCCTAGAATTCTACTCGCCTGTTTAAATTAACTGACTTTGTTACCTTATTTGCTTTGGTACCTTGTTATGCTGAGCCTTTCCTTAATTGGAATTTTCCTGAATTTGGTCCTAATTGACTACTATATGCATTCTGAACCTTGACTCCTTCCTTATTTAATCCTGCACTGATTTTTTCTTCTTGCCTTATATGGTGCTGAATCTTTTCGTTTGATTTTGATTCCCTTAACAAAGGGGAGTACTTCCTTGATTCTCTAATTGATTGATTCTGAGTTCTTAAATTAACATACTACTGTGATTTTTACCTTATTTCACCAGCTACTTTCAACTATAAATACCCTAAGTCTTTCACACGAAAAACACACCGTCTTCCTGACTTACACTTATACACAATAATATTCTCTCTTCTTGTCTGCACTCTGACCTGTTCACAAGACTTGCTGTTTTTCTCTACTTGTTTCTTTGAAACTGGTATGTCTGGATTTAAGCTTCAGCATTACAGCAATGTGTTTATTTATAGTTTGTGTATCCATGTCTATTTGATGTTTCTGTAGAGCTCAATATTTCAATTAGCATGCTGCTTTCTTTCTGTTTGTTTATGCTATGAATCCCTGTTCCTTACCCCTTATGTGTTTGAGCATATGGTTTAAGACATGGCAATATATAAGTTATTGTCCATGAATTAAACTTGGTCCTTTGGGATCCTAATCTCTAAACAGTGTGTTCTAACAGGCTTATGGGTGTGCTAGCATTTCCCATTGCTGGGTATGTCCACCAGCCTGTCTTTGCTTCTTTACCACCTCCCATATATCCCTATGTGTGCTGGTTTGAGCTGTTTCCCTTTACCTTTCCCCTCTCAGAACTCTGTTCCTGCACTTACACTCTCTCTTAGTCCCTAAGTTCTGCCCCCTCTTGTGAGCCTTGCCTTGGGACCTTGATTCCCTCTGAACTTGGACACTTGAGGGCTGGCCCTTCCACACTACACTATGTCTTAATCTGGTGATGCATTTGGGTGTGAGCACTGCCCGGAGTCCATATGAGGCTCTTAGGGAACTCTGACACATCCAAAAGGGGAGAAAGGCTTTGGATCATGATCTCATTGGAGTTGGTTTACTTCATATTTCAGACAGGAAATCTGAATCAGGCTCTCCTTGGTTGTACTTTTTAATTTCTTATGTATTTTTCTTTTTATCTTCATTCTGGGCTATAATAATTTTGTAATAAACTCTTGGGGATGGCTAGTGAAAAAAGGAGGGATAACTATGTATGCAAAGGGTAGATATCCTGCCTATAGGTGTATTTCTGAATTCCTGCATTCCCATATAGATATCCTACCTATAGGTTATTTCTGAATATCTGCACTTCTCATATAGATACCATGTCTACAATTACCTGAAAATCTGAATCCTGCATATGCACATAGAAAATATGCCTATAGGTCTTTCAGAATCCTGCATATACAGTCTTCATCAGGCAATCATGTTTATAGGTCTTAATCAATCAACTGCAATTGGATATCATGTTCATAGGCTTTATAAATGAAATTCAGTATCTAGGTATCATGCTTATAGGTTTTCTGCATTTTACCATGTCTGTTAAAAGGGTTTAAAATCAATATGCATAGAAAGCGTGTCCATAGGAGTTATTAATCAAGTCTGAATCGCCCCTCTCGCTTATAAGTCTAAAACCAGTAATAATAACGACCATCAATTACAGAACTTATGATCTCTTGCTAAAACTTGCTTTCTTTAATAACTGACGACTCTCTTAAATCATTATGTATTCAGTTTATTTCATTGTCTCTAAAATCAGTAGATATCATGCCTATAGGACCCTCGTCCAACACCTAGGCAAGCCTTAGGGCTAAAATTATAAACTGAATCAGATTTTATTAGCTACAACCAGCAGGCAGGCCTGATTCAGGCTTCTTATCCGAACTATGTAATAAATCAGTTTGCCTCAACCTCTAAGTTTTAATCATACCTTAAACAGTATGTGTAAGTATGTGTAAGTCATGCTAAATTATGTTTTTTCTTTGGTTTAAAGGAGGTCTATCTGAGCCCTTCACTTGTTTATGTGCTCTCCCCCAACTTGCTATACGTGTTTTTGTATGTCGCCTTAGAGTTTTTGCCTTTGAAACTATAAACAAGCCTAATATCCCTCCCTTTTAGGATTAGTAGTCCTAACTGCCTCCGGGACTGATAGGATTGAGGCGGGTAATAGCATGCAATAAGTAAACGAGACCATCCCGCGCATTAATACCTTAACGGGGTGGGAAAGGGTAGATATGGATATGATGACCACGCGATAACATCACGTGTAGCCCCTCACTGAGGAGTGATTACCGGATGTTGTGTGGGGTGATCCATATTATTTATAAACCTAGGACCCCCTTCCCTTTAATTCTTTGATTCTTTGCTTCTTTTTTTTTTCAAATTTTAAACTATTTCTCTAAGAAAAAAAAATCAGTATCCCTTTCGTTCTTTCTAACTTTGCTTATTTGTAACCATTATGTGAAAATCCCCTTACTTGAAGTTTTATTTTCCACTTAAGTCACAACAATAGTTTGGCCGGGAACCACACTAGTGGATCCTGAGGGGTGCCTAACACCTTCCCCTTGGGATAATTTCAAGCCCTTACCCAATCTCTGGTTACTTGACTCAAACCCTTCTAGTGTCCTAATGCACTTAAATCATTAGGTGGCGACTCTTCAATTCAAAACTCAATTCCCAAAAGGGAACGAGTTGTCTTCCTAGATGCCATAAACCCGATTTCGCGAGAAAAAGGGGGCGCGACATCGGGCTATCAGTAAAATAGGGTGCTCAGCCCTAAATAATATTTTCATGCATCAAAATGGAGTAATAAAGACTGAGTTATGAAATCAGTAAACATAGCATGACTGAGTATAGGTTTTTAAATCAAAATAGTGAGAGGATAATAAGAAAAAGCCCCTAAGGGTCCAAACAGCTCTGGCACAAGGCCCAAATATGGCATTCAGCCCAATTTATAGGAAATTCTTTCTAAAACACATAAGTATTATATTATTTAAGTCAAATACGCAACTTTATAGTTGCTACGGGACGGACGAAGTCACAATCCCCAACGGTACACGCCCACACGCCCATCACCTAGCATGTGCGTCACCTATAAATAGTAAAACAATGTGAAATCCGGGGTTTCATACCCTCGGGACTAGATTTACAATCATTACTTACCTCAAACCGGACCAAACTCTAATCCGCGATGCCTTTGCCTCTCGGCTCGGCCTACAAATGCTCAAAATCTAACCAAAATCAGTACTACATCATTAATACATGCTAAAGGAACAAAGCCCATGCGAAAATTATCAAATTAAATAAAAGATCCCGAAATTGGCCAAACCCGACCCCCGGGCCCACTTCTCCGAATCGAACAAAAATTACAAAACCAGGATCCTTATCCTCTCACGAGTCCATACACACAAAATTTACCAAAATCTATCTTCATTTGACCCCTCAATCGCCCTATTTTAACTCTCAAGTTCCAAGCCCTAATTCCCCAATTTTCACCCTTAAATCCCACAAATTTCATGCTTAATCAACTGAAAATCACCATAGAATCGAGTTTTAGGTTCAAAAACATTACCTCAACGAGTTTCCCCTTGAATCCCTCTTCAAAACCCTCCAAAAGCTCCAAAAAGCGAGTTGAAATTGTGAAGAAATGACCAAAATTCGCGAAGGGTCCTTTGTATACTTTCTGCCCAGGGATCTCGCACCTGCGACTCCATAAGCGCACCTGCACTTCCGCTTCTGCGGAAAAATATCCGCTTCTGCGGATTTCACTTAACTTGCCAGCTCTCGCATATGCAGTCGCCTTACCGCGCCTGTGGCATCGCAAATGCGGTATACCTAGCCGCACCTGCGGTCCTCCACGCACCTGCGCCTCCTTTCCGCTCCTGCGGAGCTCGCACCAGCGGTCCCCAATCCGCAGGTGCGGATATGACAGAAACAGCAGCACCAGCTACAATTTCTCAAGTTCAAACTTTTTGATGGCCATCCGAAATCATCCCGAGACCCTCAACCAAACATGCCAACAAGTCACATATCAACATTCAAACTTATTCCAACCTTCAGAGCACTTAAAACAATATCAAAACACCAAATCACCCTCGGATTTCAAAACTTCCGAATTCTGCAAACGATGCCAAAACCTATGAAACCTCATCCGAATGACCTGAAATTTTGCACAAACATCACAAATGACACAAGGGACCTACTCCAATTTCTGAAATTTCAATCCGACCTCGATATCAAAATTTCCACTACCGATCGAAAGACGCCAATTTTCCAATTTTGCCAATTCAAGCCTAAACTTACCACAGACCTCCAAATCACATTCCAGATGCGCTCCCAAGTCCAAAATCGCCTAACGAAGCTAACCAAATTATAAAAATCCAAATCCGAGATCGAATACTAAAAGGTCAAAACTTCGTCAAACCTTTCAAATTTAAAGCTTCAAGTTGAGAATCATTCTTCCATATCTGTTCCGATTAACCTGAAAACCAAAACCGACGATTTATATAAGTCATAATACATCATACGGGGATAGTCATGCCCGCGAACTGGCTAGCGAAGTGAAAATGCTCAAAACGACTGGCCGGGTCATTACAACACGAGTTCTCCAAAGTTGTTGTATTAACTGGTGGGGGAGTTTGCGCTGCATTGGGTAATCCTCTAACAAATACTTGCAGTGCACTGTTTACGTGTTCTGCAATTTGCTTTGGAGCATCCTGCTCCACGGTTTGGTCGTCTTCCTGCCGATCTTCAGCGCGCGACGCAGACCTTTCAGGTGAACTTCCACGGGATTACTGAGGGGATCCCGTAGGTGTGTGGTGTGGTGGAGTTCCACCTTGTTGGTTCAGCTGGTTGTTCTCGTTAACGGTTGACATACTTGGTCGTTAAAAATGAAGTTCGGAAAGTGAACAGATTACAGATTCCCGACAATTAAATCAATTTGTTTAACCCAAAAATAGATTTCTCGGTCAAAGTCAATATCTAGAAGAAATCAGGTTATTGATAACCAAGATTTACTTCACTTTCACAATAATTTGAAGAATAAATCAAGGAATGAAAATAATTGACAAAGAAAATATGAAACAGATTGATAATCACTCCCAAAATATCGATTTAGAACCTTGAGAATAAAGTAAAGAATGATTACATGGATTTTAATTATTATCCAATGCCATTACAAATGAGGTTTCGGTCCTTATATAGGAGCACACAACTGTAACGGTTTCCTTACTAATTCGGGTTCACTAATGGCATTAATTGTTTTGATTACCCGTTACCATATCAATTGTAACCGAAGTATTTATGGCTAAAGATTTCCTGACCGTATCGATTTTCCTTCCTTATTTATGACAGGTTCGTGCATCATTCTTTCTTTCTTAATGGCCTTTATTCATTCCGCTCCTTTTCTCCTTTTACAACTGTCAGGTTCGGCTCTTTTCTCGGTGTAAACCCAAAGGTGTTCCTTCCGTGTCTTTTTCGCATTCTTTAACTCATATAATTAGGAACGCCACTTGTCGCTATATTGATGGTCCATGTACCATGCCCTGTCACCTCAATGATAGACCATGTGTCATGCCTTTTTTTCACTAATCCAAATGAGAGGTTCACCTTTTCTATATCATATCTGGATGCAGTTGCAAGCGGATGCAATCAGAAATTTGCCTGGCGTAGTATCTTTGCGTCATTTCTTGCCCATTTTAGGAAGCTGTATTAGAAGAGCTGTTTGAAAACTAGTTCTAGCATATTATGTTAAGATTTATTTGTTATTTGTACACTGTAAATACTAATAGGATATAACTTATTATATGTTGAAAATTCATCCACAAGAAATCAATGCAAGGCAAAATCATTGAAGGTTATTTTAAAAAGAGGAAAAGGACCAACAGGACAAAATAAATTAACAAAATAAATAATTGTCGTAAATGTTTTAGCCTAGAGATATTTATAGGTAAAATAAGAAACTTGACCTCTCTTAATTTTTCAATTTATTAAAGAAATCGTGCATGTCCGATGTAGAGGATAGACATAGAAAGGAAGAGAATTTTACGATTAGTTTACGTTCAAATCATATTCTCATAATATGCGAGAACTTTAAAAAGGTAGCAAGCTCGCCTACTTGAGATTTGGTAATATATGCTAGTGTGTGATACTTCTTGTACTACCCTCGAGAGTTGTGGAGGATGGATAAGATTCCTCCACAAATCAAAGATCTTGGGCTAAAGCCTTGGAAATGGAAAAGTTTGAGCAATTTTTAGAAACCACTATTGTTTAGTGGCTATTAACTTCCTATAGCTATCATATACATAATTACTTTCTATAGCTACTATTTAGTTGTTAGGCGACTATATTTGCTGTATACGCGCTATTGTATTCATGAACACGGTAGCGGAATTCGCCTAAAAAATAGGGCAGTCCAGCTGTGCGATTGTATTCATGAATAAAGTAGCGAAATTCGCCTAAAAAATAGGAGAATCCAGCTATTTAATAACGGAAAGAGGATCAATTAGCTGTATCACTCCTAATAACTCAACAAAATCAATTATACATAAATTTCGAAGTTGTGGCTTTCGAGGAAGAAAAGGGCTTTCGGGTTTGGAAGCAGAAGTGATTTCACAAAATGTGTTGACGAGTGCTTCTCTTTTTGTGGATTGGCGGTGAGGTTTGCTTGATTTTTCATCCTTTTCTGTTGCTTCTTCATATTTCTCCATTTAAAAAAGATTAGTGTGTCTCTGTATTTTCTTTTTGTGGATTGGCGGTGAGATTTGCTTGATTTTTCATCCTTTTCTGCTGTTGCTTCTTCATCTTTCTCTCCTTCTGCTCACTACAAGAAAAGGAGGATATAGCGACACTTAATTAGTCACCTTTCTAATAAATGTCGGAAACAAAGTAATTTACTGATCCATTTATGAAAAAATGTTGTAAAGTTAATGTCATTTGATGATAAAAGCCGGGAATACTATGACAATTGTTATAGATGATACAATATTACGACATATTTAACGACGAGAATTTACCGTATTCAAAAAATTTAATTACTTTAAATGTAGAAACTATATCTCCAATTGTACAGCGGCTTCCGTGAAGACCTAATTCTTTTAGGTCTCCTTCACCCTTTGCGGCTGCAATCTCTTCTCGTCAACCGCAGTGGTTCCACCATTCATAATATAGCTTATTGCTGACCTGTAATTTCTTCTCTGCCTTTGGCGTCATGGTGGAGGGAAAAAGATGCAACACGAGAATTCCCTTTCTCTTTACTGTTTAGATCTCTCTTTCTCTATTGTGACCATGTATCTGTTTTGTTCTCAAATCGTTTATATGTGAACTTCTTCTTTTTTATTGATAATCTTATATGGCTTAATTACGATATTTATAGATTTATTATATGGTTTTGATGAGGTCGTTTGCCTACACATGGGTACTTTCTCAAATTTGTGGTACTTTTGTTATGTGCTTCATATATTCACTAAAGCTAATTTTTTTCTATAAAGCATTAAGGTTAATTTTGTTAAATTCTCCATCTTGCTTAAAATAAGTTAGTCATAATCTAAATTTAATGTATAGTGATGAATGTTACTGGTGTTTTCCTTCAAAGAAATTCAGATGATTGATTGGTAGGGAATATGTTGTTCTTGTGGAGAATGACATTGTTGCCAATTATATGAATATATGAGGCAACTCTTATCAGTTTTCGGTGGTCATAGCTATCAAGCTGAAAAATAAAATTGTTCATGACATGTACTTAGTCTTTTTGTGTATGATATGGAGTCCTAATGAGCACGTCTAGAGTATTGCTTCTTACGGTAATGTCCTTCTATATTTGATGGATAATTCTCTATTAATGTTTTTTGTTTTCAACTCATGATTATTCCTACTTGTTGAAATGAAAGGTAACTTATGAAGATGATGCTTATAAAGAAATTGCATTGTGATCCGTCTTTCTTATCTTTGTCAACAGCTATCAAATAGACAGATACATAAGTGAATGAGGAAGGGATCTTTGGAAGAAAGTGCAGAAAGAGTGAAAGAGGAGTTGAAGAAGTGAAGACGTCTCTTGTTGTTCGAAGATCGGATAGTTAGATTTTGCCTGAATATTGATAAATAATTTTATCATGACATTGATTATTGTAAAGAGAACATATATTATTCTATTAGATATTGAGAACTTCTATCTTTAAAATATTGCTTTCAGTATATATTGTCTATGGTGGATTACATTTATAGGATATATAACTTGAATTTGGATTACGGCTTCATGTAAACATCGACGCTTCTAAATATGTCAAAAACAAAACAGAATGTGCTTGAAACTCATCATGCTGACATTAATAAAAGTCTAGAAATAAATGTAACTCTTTATTTAGTGATATTAGCTCACATGTCGTAAATTTCTATGTGACATGTACCTAAATGACGTAAAATAAATGTTGTAAAACTTTTGCCGACATTTAATTAGATATCAAAAAATTCCTGACCCCAAAATCTCCGACATTTAAGCTAAATGTAAAATAAATATCAGTTAATGAATTGGTGACATTTATTTAACTAAATACGATACTTATAAAGTGTCGTCATAGGTCTAATTTCTTGTAGTGGCTTCTACTAGGTGTACTAGTATGCATTACTCCTCCTTTTTCTCAAGAGGCAGAGTTTGGTATGTATTCGTTTCTTCAGCCGAAATTGGAGGTTTATGACTATGGCCAAATTTGATAAAGAAGAGAGATGATTGAGAATCTTGCTGAGGAGGAGAGAGAAGGAAAAGAGAGAGAACATAACTTTCGTATTTCACGTCTTAATGGTAGGATATAAAATATATATTTATTTTATTATAAAATAGATTAGATAGCTATAAGTAATAATATTTTAAAATTATTTTGGTTTATAGTAAATAGGGTGTCATAGGTTGCTATAGGAGGTAAAGCGTTTTCCTCTTTAATGAGTCGTAACAAAACAAAAAGTACTCCTCCCATTCTACCTTTTTATGGGCACTATTTTCTTATTAGTACATTTTAAAAAGTTTAGTTTGTCTCTGTATTTTCTTATTTGGAAAACTTTTATAATCACACAAATGTTTTGACTTGTTTAACACCACAAGTTTTAAAATTTTATAACACATAAATGTTATGATACATTTAAGACTACAAGTTTCAAATATATTTCTCTTTTTATTAATTTTTTTGTCAAATCAAACTAAGACAAACAAATTGAAACTCAAGAAGTAAATTTGAGGAGTTAGGACACTAGTCAAGATATAAACATTCTAAAATTGTTTGAGTATTCTCCGTTTGAAAGGAAACAAAAAAGTCAAGCAGATTTTTGGGGAAACGGTAAGCTTGACCACGTTTACTCTGTTTGGTTTTGTTTTTTGAACTCAAAAGAAAAGCTTTATTAAACTGAATTAAACACCACCGAGTTTAATAAAACACAATAAATAAAAAAATATACGACTCTGCTGGGGATCGAACCCAGACTCTCTGGTTTCGTAGACCAGCGCCTTATCCATTGGGCCACAGAGTCTTTGGTGCTCCTTTCCCTAAGCACAACAGATATACCCAATATTCACTTGGAAACACTCTTCCTCTCATTTTCCTTTTCCTGCTATTTCCACCTGTTACCTTCCTTGCTTGTTCTAAGCAAATATTATCAGCTATATCCTGGATTCATTTTGCCTTAGAAGGGTAATGAGAACAGTGGCATGCCATGGAGCAGCACAACTTTCAGCCATTGACCTTGCAATGTAATATAGAATTTACTCTATTTCGAAGAAAATAAATATTGTAGTAGACAGTTTATGCTCTTGGGTTTCAAGCACCTATTAACAACTTAAAAGATTTTACTCCCACACTCTAATTACATTCCACGGAATGCATTTTATGTTCCATCTGCTAATGTCAATTGAGCACATAAAAAACAAAATTCTTTGAGCATATGAGGATAGGGTTAATTCAGTTTACTGCATTCTCAGTCAAATCTCTAAACATAAATGGCTTTTTTTTATAATCTTTTTTTCTTCCTTTTTCCTACTTAATTATTTTAGGAAACAAAAAATGTTTGTTATTTTTTCTGTTGACGAAAAGTGATATAATATATTAAATTTTAAACAAACAGTCTTGGAATATTAGAAACCTATAACGATCCGACCGGTCGTTTTGAGTTTTAGTACTCCGTTCAATGGTTTGAGACTTTGAATAGCTTTGCTTGATGCATTATGCCTTGCTTATATGGTTGAGTTTGATTTTCGAGAGGTTCGGAGTTGAATTGGAAGAATAATTCTCAATTCGGAAGCCTTAAGTTGGAAGAATTGATAAGAATTCGAATTTTGAATTAAAGGCCTCGGAATCGGGATTTGATGGTTTCAATAAGTTCGTATGGAAGTTTTGGAATTGTGCATGTGTTCAAAAATTCAGAGGTTCCTAGAAGATTTTGTCCCTATTGTCCAGAGTTGGCAAGTTGAAAGCTTGGAGAGTTCATAAGTTTGACCGAAAATTAACTTTGGTGTTATCGGGTTTTGATTGGTATTTCGGGACTTCCGATAGGTTTATTTGGTTGATTGAAAATTGTGTGTAAAGTTTGATTGTGATCCGGTATGTCTAAGTCTGATTCAGAAGAGTTCGGCGAAATATATGAAAGTTAACAGAATGATTCGATATTTGACTCTTTATTTTGATATTATTTATGGTGTTGCTAACCTTTGGATAAATTTGGTGTATGTATATAGACTTGTTGGCGT